TCATGAATTATTAATGAGTTTTCTAAGTATAATCAAAAGTGAAGTAAATCGATCACTCGGAACCACAAGCAAGAATTGAAAAGTTTTTAATCTTGTTTCTAAATGTTGAAGACTTTAAATTCTTAATATTTGTCGAAAGGGAGTTCCACAGTTTGGTCCTTGGTAGAGGAATGATCTCTTTAGATAATCTGTTCTTCTTCATTCTCTCTTAAATTATAGGACTTAGTACTGTTTACTGTGGAGAATTTATCATTTAGATAATTAGGAGCAGTTTTAGTTTTGATTTTGTACATAATMGCARCCTTATGCTTAGCTCTCSTTTCAGCTAAKTTATCCYACTGTAGCTGCTTTCGAATATCTGCTGATCTAATTTCGTATCCAGAGCTCGTGATAACTCTTCCAGCTCTGTTTTGCAATCTTTGAAGCTTAGTGGTTAAACCCTTTGTCAAATTGTCCCATACCACATCGCAATAATCAAAATGTGGCTGAATTAAGGAACGATAAATCAACAAAAGGGTTTCTTTTTCAACATAAGGTTTGATGTTTCTTAAGCCTGCTATTGCTGAGGAAACKTTCTTGGAAATATGATCAACATGAGCTGACCAAGAAAGCCTCTCATCTATATAGACACCTAGTGATTTAGCTGTTGCAACCCTTTTAATACAAGTTCCTGCTATCTTCAATTCTGGATCATGAAGTAAGCTTGCAAGCTTATAATCTGATGCGATAAGCATAAACTCTGTTTTTGTTCCATTAAGACTTAATTTATTGGCTAAAATTATTAATATTATTATTAATATTATTATCATTGTTATCATTATCATATCCTCTCAGTAGCCTCTCAGTAGGCTCGCCGAACTAATTGCCAACAAAAAAGGAGAAGATTATGCCACCACTGTATCCTGGATACGAGCAAAGGTTTCTTTCTCCCTTTTGAGATCAGCTCTTCTGTGCCTTAGAGGTTCAGAAGAAGAACCACAAGAATATTGAATACGAACTTAAAAGACATAGACTTTTACATTTTACTGACAAGAACGTTCTCTCCACTTGGTTCATTAGTATTTTCTCTAATTCATAGTGCTATAATTCCTGTTTATTTGATACTGCGACTACCCCAGCTATTCTCTCTTGAGCTCCCGTGCTACTCCTCTCGTTCATGCAGATGTACTGAGCCTGCTGTAAACAAGGCCAGCAACAACTTCTTCCCAATGACAAAGGACTATTGACACTAAAGGGAATATCGTCTCCGTGGAAACAGGTTTAAATTCGATCAAAAGCTTATAAAATGCCACGAATGCTAATGGTGGGATGGGACGTCAATGATGGATGATACAAACTTACTTTATCCGTTTGTATTACCCAAAATCCCGCATTGGCCGGGACGGCTCCGCTTTTAGGTAGTGCCTAAATATATATTAGACATTATTTAGACATCGATACTGGACTAAACCGCTATAGATTGGTATTAAGTAAGGTTAATAAGACCGCAAACTAAACAATATCCCATTTGATGTTTGTTCACCTGAGATTAGTATTAATCTGTTGGCTTAGAACACATCATCATCCCGCCCTAGGTGGAAGCCGAGTAAAGTCACGTTTAAACATTGATCTGCTACTGTATGATTGAAGAGAGGCAAAGCCTGTACTGTATCCAAGCATGCACTGTATCCACATCTACATGTGATGCATAGCAGATACGAATACAGTACACACAACTCAGTCCCAGTTGTCTTTATTTTAGAACTGCAGATGAAAACATACTTAGGAATAATTTAAATGTAATAGGATTACAAAGGTCCTTAAATCTTGGATTAATGGCCTACCACCGAGCTACTGTCTATCTATTACAAGCAGGAAGTCTTTGACCTTGAGTCATTTCTGACTATTGATTGAAAATTGTGTAATGAATGCGTTGATCAGAGTGAAGAATGCGCGCCGTAAACGCTGTACAAAATGCCTTGAGGCACGGCTGGGAGGGAGGGAGGGAGGGGGAAGAGGAAGCTCAGATGTTCGAGTGATTGATTGTTGAGAGGACAGGCTATATATGTCCACTTGATATTACAATCCTTAAAAGTAATGTTACATTTCATTCAAATCAATCATCCTCTAGCTGGTCAAATCAATCGAATCACTAAGGTATTGAATATGTGGTCATTAATGACTAGTCGGTTGAAATGATGCTTGACTTCAGGTGATATCAAGCAGCACGGGTATGGCGCGATTATCTTGCTTGATGTTCCACACATGACGTGCAAACTTTTCTTGAATATTTTTACTTATTGTAACTACATGCATGATGAGATGCGCGCTTCTTTAATGATCATCCTCTGTTACCCTTTTATTCCGTCGTACTGAGTCTGAGTTCAATCAAGATTGGTAGATTAGTTCTGCAAGTAGGCTCAGCCAGTATCACATGTACGCATCTTAGTACGAAAGATTGCGTGCCAATCTCAAGCCTGCGTTTCCTCTGCCCTGCTGACTGCGCAATTTTCCGGAAGTGAGATATAATCAATGAAAATCATGTTTTCGAAAAGGGTCCTGTGTTTACCTCCGATCAAAATAAAAATTAGAAATCGGGAACGTTTATTTTTTTGGCAAGTCTTTGAACGCATGCATGCGCTCTTATACCAGAAGTCCAAGAAATCCTGGTCTCAAAATATGGATTATGCCAAAGCCCTCGTTCTTCGCCGCAAGCCAGAAGAAACGCAGACTCTGGGTACGAGATTGATTGCGTGCTTAAAGTAACATTCGAACCATTTAACTTGCACAGGTACTGAAAGATATGAACCACACACTGCCTCAGCTGGGCTACGATTCCCGAGGTCCCATAGTCATCACACACAGAACGATAAAACATATTGTTTACAGATTGATCTTGATAGGACTAAATGTAAAGTTTGTTATTACGACGTATGTGATGTGTTTGTGTGATTAAGGAACCGTTGCTCAGCTGTGACGCCCTGAGTCATATGGGTGTTAGCACGTGATCAATACGTGTTGTTCATTATCAGAACAAGACAACACGTACAGACTAGTACCTCTACTAACGTCTTGACATCCAAATAAATGTACTAAAATGTACTTCTACTCGTATAAAAATGGTCTGTAGCTGGAGCGTTTTTTTAAGAAGAACGTCCAAGAATCAAAACAAGTGGTTGTGAATATTCCATATGATAATTGGCTTTTCGCGAATCTTCAAGAGAACGATTCGAAAGATCGTAAACTGAAAACGATAATCGGCCACCAACTGGGAAATGTTGATCGATTGCGGAAAAAGAAGCATAATGAAATGCTAAACTTCATTTCTTGGTACATAAAACAGTATAGTTCATGCATGAGACAGCGCCTCTTTGAATATTCTTTTAGCATTGAATTTAATTTGATTGAAATAAATGAACTTGACGGCTAATGATCTTTGAACACTTGATTTCAGGTCATTAAGTGATTGGCTCTTTGTTTGCCAATAGYGTCAAGGCTTTCATCACTATTTTCACAGTAGTTAACCTATCAACTCGATGTAGGGGGCTAGCATATGAGGGCGTATCAAACACGATAGATAATCCCTTGTAGAACAGTCCGGATCCAACAGCTGTCCATAAGCAATAGACACGACATGTAAACACGCTTGTTAAGTTGGTAACGACGAGTGATCGATCTTCAGTTACAATCAGATGCAAGCACACACACGCTATCCGAGTATTGGCCAATTTTCTGTTGTTTTTTAGCAAGTACTGATAGACAATTGATTGTGCAAGGTTCCTGATGGATGGATTGAAGGCGCACTAGTGAGTAAGAAGACATTTGACGCACTCCACACTGCAAAGAACATGCAAACCTTTTACCAACATAACGAGAACAGGCTATCCACACCGTCAAGGCAACATCCTCGCGACCCGATGTTGTCCTCAAGAGATTTCTGGGCTTAATGGTTGGCGCATCGCCGGTAAGTTAGTCTAAGTCGATTGGTCAGCTTATAGATAACTAAAAGATCAACTCATATTCATTGGAATATATTTGAAGGTTGACGATAATCTGCTATGGTTGGGTTTCAATAATAAAATGATTAGTGCATGTGCACATGCATGTATATGTATTAGTCAATCAGTGGCCTCTGGCCTGCAACATGAAACAGTTTCGTTTGTTCATACTTCTCCGACCCCCAAACCGCCCTGTTGTCATGCCATAGAGAAGTCTATCAATCATGGCGCAGCTGTTATGAAGCTCCCCTTTTGATCTTTTGACTACACCAGGTCACTCGAGGAACAATATTGAATCTCTTTACTTTAGTTTTTACAACATCTTGTAGTGTATGACAACGCGTACATTCAAAAAGACTCACTGTTTCCCTAATGCAATACCAGAACGATGCTATGATAGATAGATTATTGGTAGAACAAGATACAACGATAGGTTACCGCATACCACATATCTCTGAGGCTAGGGTACCCTAGCTAGTCCCTATGTTATACGCTATCGTATACCACGCTTCATATTCATATCTTTTGCTTTGCACTTGGCATCAACGGCAACACAAATCAATCAACCCAAAATAATAGAAGTAAAATTCAAAACAATGCTTGTGAACTGAGTTCTGGACTAAATCACATCAAATATGCAGTCTGTTTTAATGTTATAGTAAGRAACAGTCGATTTTTTCAATGCAGATATTTAGCAGTATCCTCCTCCTGGTTTCGTTAGCGAAGACACCCAAACCTACGAAGAGGAACATTACGTGTACCGCGACTCCAAGACTCAAGAGAGCAAACTACACAAGCACAGCTTTAAGGCCTACCTTCAATGTTCTCTCTGGTATTGTACAAAGGGCATCCTTTCGAAGACAAGCCAAGCTCGTGTCTAAAACTGGTTTTCATCTTGTCATGTTGCCGAGCGGGATGTTAAAAGGAAGCGTCAAGCCCAGTACTATTGACAAGTATGGTGAGTGCACTACCCGGTTTAATAAGTAGGCTCATAAACATCAATAATACTTTCAAATGCATGGTTGCCCAATTTCGTTGAATTACTCTAAAGAACTTTTAAAATGTCAAGCTATATAAGTGGAACTCATGAATCACTTGGAAACAAAAACCACGTTCGCCTATTTCTGAGATGTTCAAATCCTAATAGACCTCAGTATAACCATAGTTAATGAAGCGGAATGGTTTGGAAACCTATTATTCTATGTTTTTGTTCGATACTCAGAGAAGGAAACRCTAGATCCGTTTGTTCATAGTATTCGGGAAGTTTTGAAGTTTTTTCCATTTAGTTTTTCCCATAAACTAATGGTATCACCCGCGGCAGCCATGTTTAACGTCCGGGTCTTGGGGGCGAGGCTTCAATGGGTCGTAACCAAAAACAATAGTTCGACGTTTTTCTAGTGATGTTACGATAACTTGTTATTTCAGTATTACATTTATTGATTGTAAGATGATGATAGCCAAAAGGGCTCCGGTGCTGAATACACCGCCGACTGAGTCTGACTATCCATCGTTGTATTAACCAGCCAGTTGATTCTCACAGAACTTTTTATTTCTTAAACCAGCCTTAGCTGAACTGGACCGCCTGTATCATWAAATTTTTTTATAAACTAATAAATAAATAAATTGGGAGGTGGGGAGGGGGAGGAATAAAAGGAATTGGCTTTAGTTGGAATCGGAAAGTTGAACAGTGGAACATGTGGAACAGTGGCTAGGTGTGGTGTGCCTCAGTTGATCATGTATTCACACACAAGGTTAAGATAAATATTCCACTTTATTTATTATTTATTTGTAGGTGTATTTGAGCTTCAGTCTTATGGTCCAAGCGTGATACGCATCAAAAGTGTAGCCCACCAAAGATTCATCGCAATAGATCAAAATGGAAAAGTATACTCAACGGTGCGGAAACACATATAAAACCATTTTTCTGGATGAAGCAGATTTCGTATGAACTGGAAATAACTGGCTGACTTATGGTATACCGTCTTGTTAACCTAGTAATGGATCTGGACAGATGACCGTCATGACTCTGCTGTGTCTTGTCATATCTTTTCAGTCACAGTCATACGAAACCTGCTCCAGCAGGAAATGCTCAGCAAATCGCATTTCGCTACAGCGCAAAGGGATAGCACTTTACTCTTCTCTTTTGGCAACACTTCTGTATTTCATTTATTCGTCGGTAGGAAAACGCCACAGTGTCTACAGTTTTACTTGAAACACAGCGACTTAACTCGTTCCATTCCTTTAGTTCTTATATGTACCACGGCAAGGGAATGCACAAAAACTGGTACCTCGCAATCAAACGGAATGGTCATATGAAAAATGCTGGCAAAGTTTTACGCCATCACAAGTCTTATCAATTTCAAGTCCTGCATAAGACTAAGAAAGGGAAACCCCACAAAGACACATTTTGGCTTCCAGGGCAAAATCGGCTCAAAGGATAGAGAAGGCCTGGGAAAGAGCTGAAAGGAAGCACACATGCAGATATCATATTATCGAATAAGGACATTCTCAAAATAGTTTCCGAGGCGCTCAATAAGGATCTAATAAGAATAAGGAATTTCTTGAGATACTTTCCAGGGTAATAATAAACCCTTAATAAGAATAAGGACATTCTCAAAATAGTTTCCGAGGCGCTCAATAAGGATCTAATAAGAATAAGGAATTTCTTGAGATACTTTCCAGGGTAATAATAAACCCTTAATAAGAATAAGGACATTCTCAAAATAGTTTCCAAGATATATGCCGGTCCACGCAGCATCATTCTAATAGCCCTTTCAATATATGGACTGTATTACTTGCGAACCCCCGGCAGATTGTATAATCCAACCGATCCCCAAACCGCGTAAAAAATACACCTGCTTTCATTGCGGCAGCGTATTTCCTAAGGAATCCTTTGTGGGGCATTGGTGCTCAGCCGACACAAAGGCTAAGCGTACGATGGTAGACGCGCTTAACTATGTAGAGGAGAAGGAGGAAGGGACTTAGCCACATCAAACTCCCACCTGCCGCCTTTCTTACCATAGGACCTCAGATGCGTGAACTCCTGCCCTTCTACGACGTACCGAACCCTGTCGGGCGCCCACAGGGAGTAGCAGGTATCATCTTCCTTGAGGACCAACCGTAGACGGTTAATATCCTCAAACGCGACATAATTTTTTATTTCATACGTAACACCCTCCTTTAGTCTCGCCAGTGTATCTGCTTTACAGCGTTAAACGTCATATATCCTATGGAATATCTTAAGATGCGTCTTCAAAGTGTCCATGGACTTGAAGCCTTTACCGCAAATGCACGGCAGACGAATACCTTGGGAATATTCCGCGACACTTCTACTAATGTCGTCGTAGTCGTTGCTAACAGACACTTTGAACCCGTTATGCTCATACCGCTGCAGTACTTTACGTTGATCCTCAGACAGCACTCCGTTGCCTTTAGGGGTCTTCAGCTCCAAGCAGAAGCCGCTATATCGCACGTGTGCATTAAGGATTAACAAGTCGGGCTGGCCGCGTTGATATCCTTTCTGCCAACACTTTATGCGCTTACCGTCGCTATCCTGCAGTTCGCCTAGACCAGGGGTCACGAGCATCTGGGGGTAAAACCTGCGGATGTAATCCACTACCTTCTTATGCAGGTCGAATTCATTTTCAATTTTAAACACCAACTTGTTTGGAATGTCAAAACGCCGCTCTATTTCATACTTGCCTGTCTTGCGCAGCGCGGGGAGGACGTCCTCAAAGACCCAATCGCGGAACTCTGCGGCCCGGGGTAGTTTGGAGCTGAATATCAGTTCATACAACCCAGGCTCGGTTACGTACACGGAATTAGGCTGTGCATTAGAGGGGCACTGTTTCGATGCCCCCTTTAGCTCATCCAACCTTTTCTGGTATTTTTCAGACACGTGGTCTCTAATGGCGTTCCTTGGGCGCTCATATCCTAACGCGGCGGCCACTTCCTTCGCTTTAAAGTACAAAGTTTCGCCTTGCACTATGCATTGCAGTTTGGTGTCGTTGTTTTCAAAGACGCGCAACATGGTATATTAGTCAAATATTTTGATTCGCAGGCTCATCAAGATACCTAGTATGCGACACTCCTTAGTTGGTTCATTTCTACGCTAAGCTGCGCATCAGACACAACGAAGACGTACGCGTTCACTTTGAAGTCGGTACCGGCTCCTTTGGTACGCTTGATCTCCAAAGTGATACCGTCTTGGGTGTTTACCAGCCGCAGACCCTGACCGTGCATGGTTTCGTCGTTGGTGGTGCGCATGTCAATCCACAGCGCGTACTTATCCATGAAGAACTCCTCAGGGCTTATCTGGTCGCCAAACTTACGCATTGCCTCCCTGTACACGTCTGCAGGCTTTATTCCTTGGGAGTAGACCTTGTTTGGGACACCGTTAATACTAACGCCTACATTGGTAATACCGGGGTTAAGGAACGCTTCCGAGTCCCTACCACCTGCTGTGTATGTCTTTGCGAATAATACCATTAACCCCGTGAGACTTCTTCGGGGAATGTTAATGCTTTCATTGATTACCTCGGGACCATTGTTCTGGAAGCTAAACGTCTTGTACATTACCACGTGGTCGTAAAGGAATGCCTTACCTGAGCTGTACTTCATTCCAGCACTACGGGCCAGCTCTTCACTGTATATCGTTTCGTATTGCAGTTCTAGGTTGGTGATGGAGTATGGGGTTGTTGTGCTAGGCGCAGAGCTTAGCCCGCCAATGATGTYGTTGACATCTGCTAAAGTTACTTCGAACTGTAGTTCACTTAATTGCCTGGGGTAGTACACACCATGACTCGTAATTACTTCGAAGTCCAGTGGTATGACATACTTAGTCCCATAGACCGTCTTTAGTTCCTTTGCCTTAGCCACGTCAGTTGCATCGCCGGAGTCCGTGGGTTGCGTTTTCGTAGGCGTGCGAACCTTACGTAGGATAACACTACCAATTCCTTGTTCTATCCTTTGCGCGCGGTCAAACGCAGTCAACCACAAATCTTTGTACGTGGTGTACAAATCGTACCTGTTCAAGTCCAAAAGGGATTCCCCGGCGAACTTAATTCTCATCTTAGAGACGAGGTTACGGCCCACGTTATTGACGATAATCCTTTCGTCTGCGGGGTCAGACTGCACCGCTAAGTCGAACCTTAAAGCCAAGGTGCCAGGAACCAATACTAGGTTATCCGTTAGGCGCGGCACGCCTACGTACAAGGTTTCTCCTGGTTTTGCGCTGCTGGGGGTAAAGGTAACCCGGTGAAAGGTGCGTTCTGCTTTTAGCCCGCCAACCTGCTTAGGTAATACGTTGGGGTTTAACTTTGAGCTTATCATATATAATGGAAGTAGAAGGAACGGATTTCGACCCCACCACCGAAGAAGGTCAAGTAGACATTAACGACGAAGAATACGAGACCCTGCTTCCTGATGACAACGTAGACCCCCGAGGCCTCTTTGAGAAATTAAGCCGCAAGTATGGCGTCAGGGCCCGCGATGCCTTGCGTTCTTTGAGAAACAAATTTAGCTCTAGAAATCCCCACGAACCCATTCCAGAGTATTTGCAAATGGAGGAGGTAGATGCAAGAACAGAAATGCTAAGAGAAGTTATTGACACCGTAAGGCAGCGATATCCTAGTGCAAATCTGGCTCTTTTAGAGTTCGGAGTGGGAAATAAGGGTCAAATTCAAATTCGATACGCAGGCAGAGAAAAATGGTACAACTTCTATCAAAGAAAGGAGTCTACCTTGCTTAACAACGCTTTATCAAAAGAAATAGTGGCGGCGCTGGGAGCTCCTAACCTAACAATGTTGTCTACCTTAAGTCAAAAGGAAACCACGAGAGCCAAAGAGGCTATTCTTAAGCAGCTTTCAAACCCAAGCTACAGGAAAGCCCTTGAATCTATTTCCACGCTGGTAGGTAAGCAACAAGAAAGGCTCCAGACATTAGAGGGCGACGCAAAGGAAGCACTTAAGAAGGAAATAGATGAAAATAATGCAGCCATGCGCAGCCTTAACGGGGATAACATTACTAATCACCTTGATGCTGTTATGGCGGAAAACCAGGCATTACAGGAAAGAATAGAAGAATTGGAAGACGAATTTATGAAACAAGGCAAGCTAACTACTGCGAGTCATACCGCTGAAATCACGGACTTCCAAGCTAGGCTTTCTAAGCTGCTGGAAGAAAAAAGCACCGCAAGGAATCAGCTAAGGGTTGCTTTATACGAATCAGCGGGAAAGGACGCAGAACTACAGCGCTTAGGAAAAGAATTGATGGAGTCTGTTGACAGAGAAAGGCAAGTAATGGCGGACAAGGCAGTGGCAGAGGAACAAATACGACAACTTCAACAGGCCGTCGAAGACTTGGAGGGGCAAATAGAGCGGCAGCAGGAAATAATCAATGACCAGGCTCGTCCCGAAGAGGAAAGGGAGGCTGCCCAAAGGGAAGTAGAAACCCTCGAGGTACGCCTTGCGGAATTACAGGCGCAAAAAGAAGGTCTGGAGCGGGAGTTGGGGCTTACCACCAAGGAAAAAGTAAAAAGAGCTCTCTTGAAGTATGGCGTTCCGCTGGCATTCGCGGCTGCTAATAGCGCCGTAGTAGGAGTAATCCTATCCGCACTTAAGGCTACAGGCGCGGGTGTAAAGAAATTAGGCAATGGACTAACGGACTTGGGGGAAAAAATGGCAGCCGGTTTGCCTGGGCTGCTGGGTTCTGTCATCTCTTTGGTACTTAGGACCGGCGGAGAACTGTTGAAGTTCGTGGGGAATAACATTTGGATATTAGCCGTAGCTATTGGGGTGGTCCTCCTGAAGAAGGTGAAGGGCTGATCTTTTCCTTGTATGTTACTTGGGGCTTGTCGTTGTCCAGCCCCGCCATTCTCCTAGACGTTCTTAACTGAGGATAAGTAAAAATAGTATTCGCACCGCCTTGATAATTTGGAATCAACGTCAGCGCGCTCATGGTGCTAATGGGCTTGTGATTCCAAGCCCTATCCGCCGGAGGGGTGTACAGCGAAGTAGCATTTATCCGAATGCGGGAGTTGTTGCTACTTAACTCATCAGAGCGCACTTGAAGCTTCGCATATCGACAATTGGCCACCATATGAAAAGATATTGAAGCTAARTTTTCTGTGCTGTATACGTTGGGCTCACGTGAAAAATGGGTTGGGTGCCTATTATTACCTTTTTTTCTAAAAGGCAGTAATGGGCGGTCGTTCTCATCAACGATCCTAAACCCAGCATTAGCTGAAGTCGAAGCCGCAATGCAAATAGTGCACGTAATTAATCCTAAGCCTCCGACCTCCACCCACAATTTGGTGTCGTGCCAATTATTATCATTCCTATACTGTGCCTCCCCTAAGTAATGAAAAAACCAATCTTCCTTTACGTCTGGGTTGTTCATATATTTAAAGGCTAAGCACCGTAAGAGTGCTAATGGTAGCGTG